TAAAGCCAAAGTTGAAGAAACTGAGGATTACTACAACTTTGCCAGTCAGAAACTGACCAAGCATGGGGTAAAGATGCATTAGTAATAATAGGTGACTGGAATACAAGAGTTGGAAACAAAGTAAAAAGAATACTAGCTGGAATGTCACACAGTGACAGAAATGATGCTGAAGATAGAATGATTGCATTTTGTACATTCAGTGATGCATTGGTGATACCTATAGGTACATTCAAATGTATATATGGATACCGATAAATTTATTCATTGAAGACACAAATATGAATACTCTATAGATTAAACCAAAAACCTTCCAAGATTGGATTTCTGATTTGAAAACTGAGGACCATCTGCATACTCATGAGACAACTAAATCAGCATAACACTTCTCACAAAAATCATGATCTATTAAAAGTCTCACTAGTAAAGGGAGCTCTGGTAGCCTGATAGCAAGAAGCTGTGCTGCAATCTCAAAGGCACATGGTACGAGGCCAACAGCTGCTCCATGGGAGAAGGATGGGCAATCCTCTCCCATGCAATTAACTGCCTCTGAAAACCCTCTGGAGCATCAGCTATGAGTAGGTTCTGACTTGACAGTACACAACAATAACAGTAAAGTGGGTAGTCTGTGGGGTTTAAACATATAGGTGGCTACCTGAATATCTTTATATAAGGAGCAAAATAGTAAGAAGGTGACCAAAAGCTCAGAGAGAAAACTAATTTACTCATTTACTTTATCCATCGTGAGACATGAAGAACTAGATGATGTCAGGCTGCCACCACTGACCTGATTCTTCTAACCAAGGTCACAATATTTGGTCACATGAAAATTATTTTCTTTTTTAAAAAGAAGTCTAATTCTTACTTTTTAAAAAGTTTCTCTAGCCATCGAAACTAGAACTCTAAAGAATAGAGGACTCACTGAATTATCTAATTTTTTCCCTGAGCGATTCTTTAAACTCAGAACCAAACCTATCTTCTGAGAGTATCTTTTAGTCAAATAACACATGGCACACAAGATAAAGTATATTACCCATATGATGGGTAGCCTCATTGTATGATGACTAAACGATGATTAAAAGTCATTTGTACAGACCAAATGGTCAACAATTATTCAAACAGCAAAGATATGTTGGGACGCTGGGGGAGGTTGGGAGCATGGAGAACAGAGAGTAGAGAAATTATAAAAGGAACAAACAAACACAATTAAAAAGAGAAATAAATTACTGCTTAAGTACCTCTACTATAAATCAGGATATTACATGTTTTAAAGTCAGAAGGGTTACATGTCAGGATTGTATCTTTTCACATATGTAAAATATGTGTGCTGAGCAAATAATCTAAGGAGTTGGACTATATGAAGAAGAATGTGACAGGATTAAATGAAGGGTCAAAAACCCAGAATTTTCAGATGACACAAAGTCGCTTACTGAAAGTGAAACACTGACTAACAGAGCTTAACAATTCCCTTAAGTGTGGATGATGCCTCAGTATAAAGAATACAAAAATCACCAAACCTGGACCAATAAGCAACATCATGATAAATGGAGAAGAGTTTAAAGTTTTCAGTGATTGTATTTAAATCCACAACCTTCACCCATGGAAGCAGTAATAATAATAATAATCACAATAATAACAAAAAAATAACCCAAATGACCCAATAGATTGCAATTGGAAAACTTAGAAAATTTATTCTCAAAGACCTTCTAGTGATCAAGGATGCCAATAAAGACTAAAATGTGTCCAACCCAGGCTATGGTATATCCAGTTGCTTAATATGCAAGCAAAGAGTACCAGAGGAATGTCTGTGTTTTATTAACTATGCATTTTATAAACTGTGTCTAACTCTGAGAAGAAAAGGAATCCTAGAACATTTGATTGTGCTTATGCGAAACCTATACTTGAAACAAGAGGTAGTCATCAGAACAGAGGAAGGAGACACTGCATGGTTCAAAATCAAGAAGGGGCTCCACCAGGGATGTATTCTGTCTCTGTAGCTTTTCAATCTATATGCCGAACAGATCATTCGGGACACTGGGCTATATGAGGAGGAATGTGGAATCAGGATTGGCAGAAAATTCATCAACAACCTGCATTATGCAGATGACACAACCCTGCTTGCTGAAACTGAGGAGGACCTGAAGTGCTTGCCTAGGTCAAGGACGGCAAACTTCAATATGGATTGAAGCTCAACATTAAGAAAACAAAGATTCTCACCACTGGGCCAATTGACAGCATCGTAATGGATGGTGAAGAGATGGAAATTGTTAACAGTTTTAGTTTACTTGGCTCCACAGTCAACACTCTTGATACCTGCAGGCAGGAAATCAAGAGATGAATTGCACTGGAAGTCATCTGTGAGGGACCCTCCAGAGTAGCAACAATGCCCAACTCTAGACTAAGGTGTGCCTGATCCAGGCCATACTCTTTGCAATTACTTGGTAGTTGTCAGAGAGCTGGACAGTGACTAAGGATGATAGAAAGAGAATTGATTCCTTTGAGCTGTGATGCTGGAGAAGAGTGTTGAATATACCATGGACTTCTAGGAGAACAAACAGATTCGTCCTGAAGAGAATGAAACTGGGCTGCTCCTTGAAAGCAAGGATTCTAAAGCTTCGTCTGGCATACTTTGGGCATTGGAGAGGGACATCATGTTTGGGAGAGTGGAGAGACAGTACAAGAGAGGAAGACCCTCGATGAGATGAATGGATTCAGTGACAGTGGTAATGGGGGTGGGTGTGTCAGAGACAATGAGGTTGGCACAGGATAGAGCAGAGTTTAGGGCTCTTGTACATAGGGAGACTAGGTGTCAAAAGCAACTCAACAGCACATAACAACAACAACATCCATTTGAAAGTTTGCAATGAATAAGGAAGATTGAAAGACAATTGATACTTTCAAATTGTGAAGTTGATGAAGAATATTGAATACACAAAGAGTGGCAAAAAACCAAACAAATCTGTCTTGGAAGAAGTGCATCCAGATTGCTCCATACAGGCAAGAATGGTAAGAAATACTTTTTTTCACATACTTTGAACATATTATCAGGAAGGACAAGTCATTAGAAAAGGACATTGTGATTGAAAAACTAGTGTCAGTCAATGATAGGATGACCCTGTGACTGCAACGATGAGCTGAAGCAAAGCGGACAGAGATTGTGGGGATGGCATAGGATCAGGTAGAGTTTCATCTTCTTATGTACAGGGTCACTATGAGTCGGAGTTAACTTGAATGCATCTAACATATCTATTGAGTTTAAACTCTTGTGGCATAGTGGATAAAGAGTTGTGCTGGAAACCTAAAGATAAGTGTTTTGAATCTACCAGTTATTCTGAGGAAGAGAGACAGTCTCCTCCCAGGCAATTCACAGCCTCAGAGAATCCCTAGAGCGTCCTTTATAAGTTGATCCTGACTCAATGGCACAAAACAATCACTAAGATTAACACTCTTATAGATGAGTCACACAACACATTTCATGGTACATTTAATTTCTGTTTACCCATTTAAAAATTGGTACATGGAAATTGGAAACATGATTTGTTCAAAGACACACAAGTATGTTGCAAAACTTGGATTTCTTTTGTGTGTGTGTGTGATTTTTTTTTTCATTTTCTACTAGTTTATTTACAAAATTCGAATACATTGTTTTCAGGAACAAATTTTTCCAATTTCCTTCACCCTCCCCCAATCAACAAATTGTACAACACCGTGATTAATCCCTCACTCACCCTGCACATCCTGATCCCTCTGCTTCCAAATTCTCCCAGCCTTCTTGGATCTTTAATCTATAATAATGGTTTTATACAATATACATCCTTCTGGGACTGAATTAGTTCACTTAGCATAAAGCTCTCCAGTCCCTTCCAAGTTAAGTAATAATTTACAAAGTCATTGCTCCTGCGTGCTGCATACTATTCCATTGTGTAAATGTACCATACTTTCTCAATCCACTCATTTGTGGTTGGACATTTGGGCTGTTTCCATGCTCTTGCAATGATGAATAATGTTGCTATGAACATTGGTGTACAAATCTCCATTTGTGCCTGAGTTCTCATTTGCTCAGGGTATATTCCAAGTAGTGGAATAGCTGGATCATATGGAATTTCTATGTTCAGCTTTTTGAAGAAGTGCCAAACTGCCTTCCAGAATGATTACCATTTTACAATCCCACCAACAATGTAGAAGAGTTCCTTTCTTACCACATCCTCTCCAACATCTATTACTTGCTGTTAAACTTGGCCACTGTTACTAGAGTGAGATGGTACCTCATTGTGGTTTTGATTTGCATCTCTCTTATTTCCAGGGATCTGGAGTGTTTCTTCATGTGTCTGTTTGCCATTCTAATATCTTCCTTTTTGAAAATTCTTTCCATATCTTTTGTCCATTTTGTAATTGGGTTATCAGTCTTTCTCTTATGGAGTGCCAGGAGTATTCTGTAAATTTTTGTTATAAGACTCTTCTCTGAGATGGTGTTACCAAATATTTGTTCCCAGTCTGTAGGTTTTCTTTTCATCCTGTTGGAAAAATTTTTGATGTACAAATGGATTTAATCTTTAGAAGATTCCATGCATCAATTTTATCCTCTTCAGACTGTGTGTGCATTTCTGCTTGTATTTGGCAGTCTCATTATAACATGGACTAGCGTTCTAAGCTTAATCTCTGTTTATCTCTTATGAACATGATGGGTTTTTGTGTATGATGTGCAATGTAGATCCTGCTTCAGCTTTCTGCAGTTAGAAGTCTAGGACCATTTAAATGAAATAGGGTATATTCAGGATGGCATGGCCATAGAAAAATCTGGATACTTTCCAAGTAACTGCTCTTTCAAATGTACAAACTACCTTCATTTCTTTTTATGATTTCAGAACTAATCATTCATGAACTATGTGGGATAAAATTTGAAAAATTTGTAAGTTATAAAAACTCACTCAACATATGTTTAAATGAATCTTAAAATGCCTTTCATTCTTTCTCTTTCACCTCACCCCTACTACTTGACTTAGGAAACCATTCAATGCAAGACTCTATGCCCTATAATGATGGAAGCCACAGCACGTTGTGGTAGATGCGACTTTAACTTTAGTAGCCACATCTGCACTGTGATAAAAGGGGCTCACAGTTCCACAGAGAAGACATCAAATGAAGAAATATGCCCCTCTGCTGAAGAGATTGTTTATACGGGGAATGCAAACATACACTCCTACACAGGTAACAAAAGTCAGCTATCAGCTATATGCCTGAGAGTCACTAAAGTTGATGAGAGATTGCTCTCACTTTTTAAAAATGTTTTTATTGTGATTTCTAACAGAAAAGTGGGATTTTTTTTTTCTCTTTCATTCATTGTTGCACATTTTCCTCCCTAACCCCTCCCCCAGTTCTCACTTTAAAAAAATTCATTCATTGTTACAAAATTTTCTCCCTTCCCACCACCCAGTTCACTTTGCATATGCTTACTCTACTAATCTTACTATCAATTGATTCCATCATATTTTGGAATCAGCTAGTAGTAAAGGTAATTGAAGACATAATTTAAATTTGGTAAAAGTGACTAGTTCAAATATTTTTAAAAGTCCAACTTTAGACATTGAATCAGGAGTGGCATCCACTTCCTAAACCACATGCCTCTGGAAACTATGAAATTTGATAAATGATGATAGTTATGGAAAGGCTTCAGGCCTTTTGTTCTTAGGGTCGCTATGAGTAGTGCTCTACATGACAGCAATCAACAACAACTTTAGACAAGCATGAATATTTTTTTTTTACATTAATCTATGGATTATTTTAATCTGCGGCCCTCAGGCCTGGTTTTAATTGTTTTTGGTCCAACATTCCTCTAATTGGTATAGCACTGGTCTGTCCATTTGCTGTACAGAGGTAGCTCATGGTTGCTGTAATGCTGTTGCTATAATGCTAAACACTATAATGTGACACTGATGTGTCAAGTGTGATAATGATTACCCATGGTGGACAATGTTTGATGGAGCTCCCGATTAAAACAAGCTTGGAAGCAGAAGTGGCATCCACTTCCAAAATAGCTTGCCTCGAGAAACTCTATGAACTTGGAGAAGTGGTGAAAGTTATACAAGTGTTCAGGTGTTTCATTCATAGGGCTGCTACAAGTTCTCTACAACCCTATGGCACTTAACAACAACAACATGAAGAATAAAGAATAGAGAAGGATTGGCCACGCACTTCTGAAATAGCGGGCCTCTGAAAACCCTATGCACAACAGAACACACGCAGA